GCAGTGCCGGCGGACGAGGCCCAGAGCACGTGCGCGCTGTGCGGGGAGGCGTTTGAGGTGTTTTGGAGCGCCGAGGAGGACGAGTGGATGTACCGGGGGGCGAGCTACCTGCACGACGACGCAGACGGAGCGGAGCGCGGGCCCATCGTGCACGTCAAGTGCCGCGCAGACAGGGACGCGCTCGCAAACGGCACGGCGGACGAAGCGACGGAGCACACCGAGGGGGAGAGCACGGACAACGGGGGAGCGACGAGCAGCCTGCGGGAGGAGCTGGGCGACCTTGTGGCGCTGCTGGAGGGGGCGCAGGGAGGCGGGGCGGTGGCAAAGCAGTGGGGCGGGGGCGAGGCCGGCGAGGCGCGGGGGGCGCTGCGAGTGCCCAAGCAGGAGGACGGGGAGGCCGGGACACAGCTCGACGAGGCGCAGCCAGGGACGGAGGCAGGCGGCCCAGCGCGTGCACCAGAGGTGAAGGTGAGGCTGCCGGGACCTGCTCGTGTGCGGATTCGTTGCCTTGTTTCGGAAGAGGAGAGAGGCGCCGACAGGGCCGTCCTCGGCTAGCCTTGACTCGCAACGTTGCCGTGGGAGGTTGTCGGCCCAACCTCGCAATGTTGATGCTCGTGTGCTGACGCCGGTGCAGGCCGACCCCGACGCTGCCGAGGACGGCGAGCCCGAGGCAAAGCGAGCCCGGAGACAAGACACGCACGAGGGCGCCGTATGACGCGGCCCCTCTGTCTCGGTGTTGGACGGCGTTGGACGAGGCAGGGGCAGGCCGCCGGCGCAAGGAGCGCCACCTGGGCTGGGGCACAGCACCAGCACATACAGCCAACTTGAAGGCTGGCGGCTGGCGCGGCGCTGACCAGCGTCATGGGTAGGCCCTTTGTATCGGCGAGGATACAGAAGAGGACGCGATGTCTGACAAAGATTATGGTTGGAATGCAAATAAGGCCCCTCCAGGTTGCCAAACTGATGCTTCCGGCAATGTCAACAAAACGAAGCAATTGTACTGAACAGCATGTGAAAGCTAAGCATGTAGTCCGTCCAAAGCTTCTGTGATGATACGATGTATCTGCACACATGGCCGGAGCAATGATCACTGAAAAGCAAAACGTTCTGGTCAAGTTATGTTAAGTTTGGTTCGGAAGAGTTGTCTTTGGTTGGTCCATACACAATGGTCACGAGTGAATGACAAACTCATCGTGTTGAATCGCATAACATTCATGGATTCCTGTCTGCATTGGTTGACGTACATGCATGGGTTACATGGTGCAGTGCAACATGTGGTGACCGTGAATGTTGCGACCTTTAGGGCAGTTGCCAATCATCGGTGATACTGAAGCTTGCAGTGAGTACACACTACCTCACATGCATGTGTCTTCCTTATAAAGTCAGGCTTGCATGATGCATCAATGTGCACTTTATACACTATGCTTACCATATCATCCGGTATAAAAACAGCAAACGAGCTGCGGCCTGCAACGAAGCTAATGCGTATGTGCAGCTGAATTATCTCCCTAATTCAGCTGCACGTATTATTAAGGTCGCGGCATGATTTAGTGCGACAATATGCATCATGCGAACTTAAGAAGAATTAGTAGCTATTGCATGGAGTGGCATATATATGTAAGTGCGGTAGACCCTTGTATCATCTTTGTTCCTATCTCGGAAATGTGCACCGGGCCTTCCTAACGTGCACCTCAGCGTCTTCACGCCTTTTTTCCATGCGCAGCAGGGACGTACTAGAGCGGCATGTCAAGGTCGAATAGAAGTGAAGGCTCAATCGAAGTCTGATGGGTCTCTGTTTGAGAATTGGCTTTGCCAAGGGCATTACGAAAGGAAAGCCTTGACTTCAGAGCACGTGGTCCGGATCGATTGCACCAATCACGACAGCAATGGTTCTTCTTCCAAGATAGAAGAAGCCCCTGGATCGGACCACCGGCTCCGGCCTGCCTCCAGCCTCGGATGTCTTCCTGAGCCCCGAACCAAGGGATGGTGGTAGCACTTGGACCTCCGAGACAAGGGGCGGAGTCCATAAGCTGGTTCTGACCATCCGGCAGCGTGTAGCCAGTGTGAGAATGCAGGGGCTGGCGCTTGCAAAATGGGCTATGCGTCTGGTAGTGACCAGCAGCTTTCCGAAATTCAACCTCTCCGAGTTGGGCGTTAACCCAACATTTGGTTCTTTTATCGCGGAGGATGCAAAGTGGCAGCCACTAAGCCCCTGTATTGTCGTTGCCGTGTCCCGTCCCGTAAGCGAACACAGATGACGCTTTCATCCGCCCTGCTGCCCATGGCTTCGCTGAACACAACGGTGTGAACCACCTGTGCTCACACCCCCGACCTGCGTGTGCATACAAGCGCTTGCATTGCCCCCAAGCCCTTGCTCCATGCTCGACCACAGGCTACATGCCCCGAACCCCTTCTGCCAGCCTTCCCGTCGAGAGCCAGCCGGCCAAGAGGTTGGCCTCTCCCCTAGTCGATCAGCCCCTCCCCTGCCGGCCTCGTCGCCTGGGCGCACGTTGCCGTAACTCACCGGAGCCCCTCATGGGTCGTGTCCCCCTGGGGTCCCCTTTGTGTGTCAAAGGGGCTGTGCGGCCGCACTTGCTGCAGTCGCTCCCACTCCCGGCGGGTGAGCGTGCCCGCCCGCGCGTTGGCCTCCGTTTGCTCGCGCGCCTTCATGGCGGCACGTTCCGGCTCACAGCTCTCGTCGTACTGCAGCACAGAGGACAAGCAGCAGGGGTCAGGGAGAGCGGAGACCAATGAGCATAGCAGCGCTTCTGCCTGAAGACAGGTGGGGAGATACCCCGCTTCTGTTCCAGCAGGATGAGCGCCTCCACCATTGTTACGCCTGCCTGCGCGCCACATTGGCGCTGCCCCTAGGGCCTCAGCCTGCCCCTCCGTACGTGAGAGCAGCACAGGCCCCACTCATGGGACGAGCCGCCTGGACGGATCCCGCCTGGCAGCGGGACCAGGCCCACAGCCTGCGCAGCAAGCACTCAACAGGGCCACACGGCGCAAGACTATTGTGCAGAGCTGGCAGCCGCTGCCCTGATCCTTTGGGGTGTGCCTCACCAGCATGGCCAGCTTGAACACGACGGCGAACGCGGCAGTGGCAAAGCCCAGCTGCAGCGTGGACGGCTGCGGCACCCCCGCCCACCAGCGCTCCAGGCGCAGCAGCACCCCACTGCGCTGCAACCCCATGGCCACGATGACCAGCGCAGGCAAGAGAATGAGGAACAAACATTGGCCAAGCCAATAGCTCTGACTTCTCAGATTCCCAATGGATACTTTGCTTTTACCGCACCAATCAAGTTTCAGATGCGTCGCTTTGAAGTTGAACTTGAAGTGCACAGCGTTTGCAAGAAACACACAAATCCGTGTTGGACTAGCCACAACGAGAGTACCGGTATCCTAGTACTAGTAGTAGAGACTAGGTAGTAGAGTGTCAACCAGAGCTTTGAAAGGACATTAAAACAGCGCGAAGGTCCAGTGGCAGGGGCGGCCCGGCCTGGGACTCTGCCCGGACTCAGGCCTCCCGGGCCCTTGGCTTGGGTGGCGGGCTTGGGTAGTTTATTTTCAACCCATGGGTTACCCGTTAAGGACGTTTATTACATCTAGGTAGTCTGAACCTGTTTGAACGGGGCCCAGCCGTGAATTGGTAGAGAAACCCACCTGGCAAACCCATGGGTGGGTTTAGGGCTTAGGTAACCTCAATCGGAGCCTTCGAACTAGAGCGACGGTGCTCAAACCATGCGCATTGAGCAGTCTCAATGCGGTCACAACGAGAGACGACGCGGTGCTGCTCCAGCCATATGGCGTAGCGCTTTCTCTCAGACATTTGAAGGCGAGCAGAGCGCCTGTCTCTGGAGTCTGTGGTTACCTACAACAGGAAAGTCGACAGAGGAACCCCCGTTTCCTTACGAGGAGGAGCCTATCACAGTGTCAGTTGTTCCATCTTTGCGGTTGGTCTGAGTTGGAGCAAGCAGTATGGCAAGTAGTGTGGCGCGAGCAGGCACCGCCAGCGGCTTGTGTTTGCGGCAGGTGGAAGGACTGAGCACGCAGGCTAGACAGGTGAGCACAGCACCACACGCGGGTGAGGTTGAACCCAGTGCAATGCAGGTAATGGTTGCTTGCTGCGACCGCCTGGAGACGTCATGTTTGCAAGCGGGCCTGGAAACTGGACCGCTTGGCTGCTTCAGTTTTTGGCACTTCTGAGTATCTCTTCTGAGCAGTTAAACATCAGGGGCACGCTCGCTGTGCGTGTCACAGCACCTGCCGCCCTGCGTGCGGCTGCTCCTGTGGTCAATTACTCGGGTCGCTGGCAATGCAAGGAGCAGGCAGCCGCCAGCCTGGCCCTGCTGGCACATGGAAATTCCTGGGTTGTTGCGAACATGCCTGATGCCACCCCTCCGATGTTGCTGAGGCTGGTCCTGGCTGCGGGGCTCCTTGCATTTGCCCATGGGCAAATGCTTGGCTCTACAGGCCCTTCTGGATGCTCGCGGCGCCATGCTTGCATCAGTGGTGGCTGTGCTGTCCTGCTGCCCCTTTCCCCTCTGCCTGCTTGGCCCTGATTGCTGCGTGGTGGTGTGCCTGCAGTATGAGCGCCACTCTGCGGTGCACGCGTTTGCAGCGCCGGCCGGCCCCGTCTCGCGTGGCCCGCGGACGGCTGTCATCACCGCCAATAAGAAGGCCGTTAAGAGGCGGCAGGTACGGTTCCGACCCCAGCGCCCAGTGCTGTGTCACGAGGAGCGCCCTGCAGACCTTCTTATGCACGTGTCTGCCCAATAATGCTCCGGTACTTTGATGGAGGTGATGAGCAGAGGCTGCAGCGGCGGAGGCCACCTTTGGCGCACAATGCCCGCCCGCACTGTGTTTCAGATAGGGCCGGCTGTGCGTGCGTGCGCAGGTGATCCTGACGGCGGACGTGGAGCACCTGGGCAAGGAGGGCGAGATGCACTTTGTGAAGCCGGGCTACTTCCGCAACTACCTCTACCCCTACCAGATGGCTAAGATCGCCACCCCCGACATCATCGCGTGAGCAGCCCCGCCCCTCTCTGCCTGCGCTTTGCAGTTTGCGCCAGCCTGTGTTACATGGCGTTCCTTGGTCCGCCCTTGCTTGCTCTCTGCTGCCCATTTTGATGTCAAGTCTGCGTGTCATTCCCTGGCATGCCTTTGCGACCCCGCTGCGCTGACGCTGGGTGTGGGTGGCTGTGTTTGCGCAGTGCGATTGAGGCGGAGAAGGCGGCCGAGGAGGAGGAGAAGCGGAAAGTGCGCGACGCGGCCTTCCAGGTGGCGCAGTCCCTGCAGCTGGTCGGCATGTTTGTGGTGCAGAAGAAGGCCGGCGACAACAAGCAGATCTTTGGCGGGTGAGCGCGCGCGCCGCCGCGGGGCATGCCTGATTCAGGGTACCCGCGTGTTGGGGCAGGGTAGCCTACGACTCCGAGCAGGGTCGGCATGACAGAGGCTGCACACCAGCTTGCCTGTACCTGACTCGCAGCACTGTGTGCGTGCAGGGTGTCGGCAGCGGACGTGGCAGAGGCCATCCGGAAACAGACGCTCAGGTGAGCTTCTCCCACCCCCCTCGCACTGTTAGCGCAGCCAGGCAGCACTTTGTTTGCGAGAGCAGGCCCCCGCATCTCACATCGGACGGCTGCGCGGAGAGCGCGTGATGCCCGGCAGGCGGTAGTGTGGCGCGAGGTGGCTGACTGCGGTGTGGCGGCGCGTGTGCAGGGACATCCCGAAGGGCGACATTGCTGTCCCGGAGATCAAGGCGCTGGGCGTGTACAGCACGACGGTGAAGCTGCACCCCGAGGTGACAGCCACCATCAAGATCAATGTGGTGCCCGGCAAGTAGGCAGGGGGGCCATCGGAAGAGACACCAACGGGTTGGCAGGTACAATAGAGGTAGCGCACCACATAAGAACACTGCGCTCGGCGAGCGAGCCCGCGGGGGCTCGCAGCTGCTTGAGAAACATTGTAGAGTGGACTAGTCTAAGCTTTGACTTAAGGTCCGAGGACAAACGCAGACAAGTGGAGTTCACTCGGCCATGGGCCAACATGAGCCCCTGGTATCCTTCTAAAGTTGCAGAGTGTTGCACATCTGCCCCCTTTCTTCTGTCAGCCACGCACTGTGGCGCTGAGGGCCCGCCCCTCCTGCTGTGGGCCCGGGGCCCCAGCCCGGTAGCCTGAGACTGGCCGAAACCTGCTCAGAGCAGGTGGGCTGTCGGGCGTCGAAGCCCGGGAAAGTGCGCATCTTGGAAGGGCCTTCTTGAGCGATAAGTTGTCTTATATACGCGCTTCTTCTTATGGTGGAATCAGGTCTTGTTCCGCCAGGTGGCAGTTGCAAGCATGGCAGAGAGGCCTCGCTGTTCCATTCTCTGTTCCGCCTGCTGTCAGTGCTGGCTGGGTGGGCCCCTCTGGCTGACCAACATGGTGACCATCTGGCGGACTTCTTGCGCGTGTGGCCCTCAGGCCGTATGATGCCGTTGGTGGTGCTCCGAATGAAAGCTCGACTCCTCGCCCGAGCACACGGCCCTTTGTCTCTGTGCGTCTCGGGTTCGTGGCTAGCTTTTGCAAGTCCTCAAGCCAGGGTCTGTATCTGAGCCATTTTGGCTCCCTGCAAAGCGCCCTTTGACAATTTTAAGTAGCATCCCGCTGTCAGTCGTGCTTTCATGACTTGTTAAGTCCCGCTAGATCTCACGAAGTTCGTTTGAAAGTTCGTTTTTCCCGATCTGTACTGTCTCCATGGGTGCGTTTGTCTCTGATAGGTATTCCAGTTGGGCTTGCCTGTATATGGCCACCGTCCTTCCAGTTTCCTCCTTGATCTGCTTTGACGCTCTACTTCTCGACCCAAGTGGGGTCAGTGGCTGATGATATTTGTGCTGGTCTTGGACTCGTCCGCATCCTCCTATTCACCATGCACGCTGAAGTAGTCGCGTGTGCAGTTGCGAAGGAGCTCAAAGATGATCACCCGGGCTTTCTTTGACCGGCAAGTTGTCTCCCGACCATTGCTGCTGGGTTGTTCTCATTACTGGCATGGCTTTGAAGAGTTGCACTGATTGGCCGGATAGAAATTCTGTCGGACATGAGCAACTCGACTGTTGTGCGTTCAATCGTCTCTGCTGAATGGTTGCTGTCCTGTGGGAATCCAGGTGTGCAATCAATTGTAACAAGCAGAGTTCCATAAATCGCTCCTTGAATCTCGACCACAGCGCTTGGAACGCTACTTTGCATGCTAAATGGCCTACTTCGGATTTTTGACGACTTTGACATTGATCTTGCTTCATGTGGCATTCAATAAAATAGATCGATCCTCATAATATACAAGCCATGCCCAGCCGCACTGAAGCTCGTGTAATGGTCCTATCACGTCCTCACTGTAATTAGTCTCGTGTCCCGCCTCGACTGCACGTCTGAGTGAAGGAGGAATGCATGTTGCAAGTGCGCTGGTGCATGGCGCACTTTACCGAACTGGCCGCACATACCCCCATGCCTGGTGGCGAGCAGCCAGCTGACTAACAACGGTAAGGGCCGGAGGCTGAGGGGCCGGGTAAACTCATCTTAGAAGTGTCTGGGTTCGATTGCAAGTGTCAAAGTTGCAAGTGATGCATGTGCGGAAGGAGTCTAGCTATTAAGGGGAATGGCAACCTTGCAGAGTGAAGGCCTTTGCCAGCAGCATGAGATATCTTCAAGCTCTTGCATGCGCTGCACGATCGACGCACCGCTGCCACCTGGACTTTGGCCGGCCCAGTTTGGAGTCTGTACGTCCTTACGACTTCACTGTTTGACGTATACGTCAATAGTCACTCCCGACCTCGTACTCAGCTGATCGAGCAGTGCCCAAGCACCTAGGTCCTACCGCTTGCGGCCCGGCCTAAGTGCCTGAGCTGAACATGCAGGATAGCTTTGCAATCGATGCCTCGACACAAAGGCGGCCCTTCAAAGTAGCTACATATATGCACATGCCGGTACGTGAGCATGCGCGGCCTTCCGTTCTTGAGCTGCCATTCACCACACCAAAGAGCCTCTGTGTAGACGCGAAGTACCCTGGCGCTTCCCAACAGACACGTACCGCCAAAAGTTGCAAGCTGCATACTGCATGGGCCATCAGTTATGTAAATGTGGATGAGATTCTCTGATCGATTACGTGCGTCTCGGCCCAATCGTCTCTCCTTGCACCCTCATTGGTTTCTTTGTATCCAGCCTAAGGACTCAATGAAGCAATAACCAGCGTAAACACATACTCGTGCAGAAGCAGAAGAGATGCTGAGGTCAAGAGGATAATAGTAATAATGACCTTTGTGGAAAGCCGCATGCTTAAGACAGAGTCAGAGCTAATACTGAAGTTGTAGAAGCGCTTGAAGAACTTTAGAGCAAATTCAAGTTGGGTTGCCAAGGGCCACTAGGTTTGACCAACGGGCGCACCACTTTGACAGGTCCATCTTACTCAAGTGACGTGATTAGTTGAGGAATTTTGTTGGTATAGTGCATCAAATGATGCTTCGAGATCTCGCCAATTCGCCCCCTCTGATCGCCTTGTGGTTCGTGCAGCGTGCCTGCTCCATCCTCTGTATGGTGCAGCCACACATCGTGTCACGTCCACGGGAGAGTCCAAATCTCCGGCTGGCTTCTGCGGGACCGAGTCCTCCCTCGAAGTCTCCGCGTGCTCGTGTCTGTGCCACCATCAGCGCGTTTTTCGAGGCTGCTTCCAGTACACTTGCGGGGTCGAACCGCCCGAGGCGTGTCCGGCCTGTCGTGGCTTTTGTGCAGTCACCGCTTGTGGGCGAGCCCGCCTCGAGATGCCCGCCCGTTGTCGGCCAAGCATGCCGCCTTCCTCCCTCTGCTGCGGCTGCGGTCTGTCCTGCTCTCCACCAAGGGCCTGGCACCGCTTGCAAAAGTTCCCCCTCAGCCGTGCACGCCAGGAGGCTGGAGGCCCTTCCCTGCGCCCGGCTGTCTCTTTCTGCTTTCTTGGCCTGCCTGGAGGCGCGGTGCCTCTTGCCGCCACGTTTCGCTGCCTCTTCCTGCCTCCTGCTGGCCCCTCCGCCATTGTCGTCTTGCTGAGTTCGCTGTCCCTTTCTTCATCCCACTTCGCTCCTGCTGTTCCTCACCGTCCGCCTGCTGCCATGGGGCGGCCCTCGGAGGGATCCCCTGCTGCTGCGGCCCCCCGCTCCCACCGCCAGCAGCAGCGCAAGGGCAATAAGCAGCCGCCCGCCCTCCCTACGCGCGCCCCCTTTCTGCGGCGCGGCTGGCGGGTGCCATGGCGCAGTGCGATGGTGACGCTGCTGGCGGGCGGCGCCGCGGTGGGCGTGAGCCTGGTGGCGTGGAGCGTGCTGTACGTCAGCGGCGCCGCGCTTGCGGCCGCGGTGGCCGGGGAGAGCCACCCGGGCACGCCGCTGGAAGGGTGGCGCTACGCGCGCGCCAAGCTGCTGGAGGGCCTGCCCCTGCTGCCCGCCGCATGGACGCGCCTGCGCCGCCGTCGCATCGCGCCCGCCCTGCAGGCTGCCGCGGACGCGGGCGTCGCCATCTTCCTGGTGCAGGTGCGCGCGCACGGCCCGCCGTGAGGCAGCTGGGGACAGATGTTCGGATCTGAGCAAGCGGCGAAGTGACCGGGCGGCCCAGCGCACGGAGGGCATTGGGGCAGACGGCTTTCCGCCTCCTAAACAGGCCCGAAACTTTTGCAGCTTGTGAAATGCAGCCGGCTCGGCCCAGTCAAGCTGCCCTTGTTGACTAACCCCGGATACAACCTGGTAACCCTCGTGGTTTGCATCTCAGCAAAGACGCTTCCGAGATCACTTGGCAGAGGCCGCTCCAGGGTCCCTCTCTCTGTCCTGGCTGCCTGCCCCCTCTGCGACGGTCACGAGCGGCCGTCGCTTCGGCTTGCCTGCTGACGTCCGCTGCTGTGCGCGCTGTCCTTGGCAGGCGCTGGACAAGCTGCTGCAGTGCGGCATGGCGGCCGCCATCTTCTGGAGCGCCGCCGGCCGAGCCACCCGCGCCGACCACGCCGCCCAGCAGCAGCAGCAGCAGCAGGCCCGCGCCCGTCCCACTCCGCGCGTCCTGGTGCAGGTGCGAACAGCCACACAGCGGGACGGAAGAAACAGGCCCCACCGCGGCAGCAGGCGGTCGTATTGCAGCAAAAATGGGTTCTAGCATCGCGAATCTGAGCAACGACGGGCGGGAGCAGATTGGGAATATTGAAGGAGCGCGAAAAGTCCTTACTCTGTATTCTGCCCTTTGTAGTATGCGAGGGAAACCGTATTACCTTCGAGCAGCACAGGCCAGGTGGCACTGGCCTGCTTTTCTTTACTGGTTGAGGACTTCAAGGAGTTTTCTCAAGTCTCCCCTGTTTGGGCATGCTGTCCCCTCCCCTCGCGCGCGTGCTTCCTTCCTCCCCTCCTTACGCTGCCCTGGCTGGCCTGCGCCGCGCGCCCCCCTGCGCAGGTGCCGATGTGCAACGAGCGCGAGGTGTACGCGCAGAGCATCGCGGCGGCGTGCCTGCTGGAGTGGCCGGGCGAGGCGCTGCTGGTGCAGGTGCTGGACGACAGCAGCGAGAAGGACGTGCAGCACCTCATCGCCGACGAGGTCGCCGCCTGGGCCGCGCGCGGCGCGCCCATCGTCTACCACGCCAGGCAAGCTGCCGGGGCAAGGTCGGGAGGAAGTATGAAAAGGGCAAGTGTTTCCAGGTTATGCTCAGATTCTAAGTGATATGGGGCGGCCGACCGCGCTGCTGATGGCCCACGTGGCTCACGCGTGGCCCTTTTGTGGTGCAGAACGGTGAAGGGCGGCTACAAGGCGGGCAATCTGCAGGTGAGGCGGGTGGTGGCGGTGCTGCTTTCTCCCAGTTTCTCCGTAGAAACATGTCAATTTTCATGATCGATCACTTCGGTGGCGGTTTCTCCTCCACAAAGACCTTCCCCTGACTCAAAGAGTCTCCTGAATGATTTGCTTTGACATCGACAAACGTCAAACAAACACTGAGTTGGATGCTTTTCTGGACACCTTTTAGAATGTCGTTGGACAATTGAAGACAGGGGACATCTGCCCCGGAAAAGGCTGAATTGGGCAGAATTCGTCGGTGTAACTTTTGGAAAAGGTTCTCGGAAGAATGTTCAGTCAGAAAGTGTTCAATACGTTGGTAAATGTGTCCTTTGTCAAGAGCACCTAAGTTTCCAAGCCACAGAGTATATTGCAGAGTCAGCGGATTCTAGCGTGATTCGTGGCACTGTGCATGGGATTCGCCGTTACTATATTCGATGTTCCGCGCTTGTGACACATGGGTTCGAGCTGCGGCTCACGCCTGCCGTGGTGGCCTGCAGGCGGGCCTGGCCGCGGCAGCGGGGCTGGGCTTCGAGTTCGTGGCCATCTTCGACGCGGACTTTATGCCGCGCCCTGATTTCCTGCGCATCATGATGCCACACTTCGAAGGCAGGCCTGACCGCGCGCTCGTGCAGGTGAGCCAATCCTGATTGATCACAGACACTGCTCAATGGAGAAGTGGAAAGTTCACGGTGCACGTGAACAAACACATCTACCAGGGTTCTGTGCCTGTCAATTGAATCGTTCAAGTACGTCAAAACCATAATATGAAAGAAAAGAGCGATTTTGGAGATAAAAGCTTGATCGGGGCGAGATTTTATTCTGTTCAATGCTGACATCGACAGGGTCCTTTATATACGGCCTATTGAATGGCACACGTTCGCTACGGTCTGGTACGCAGCTTGACGTCGAGCTAACGCGTTGAAGAAGATGTCATCGAACAGAAGAGGAACTCGGCCGCAAACAGTTCATCTCATGCTGTGCCGCCGTTTTCCGGACGATACGGCGCACCGCTGACGGCCTTCTGCTGCTTTCCTCCAGGCGCGGTGGGCTTTCGTGAACACGAGCCAGAACCTGCTGACACGCTTTCAGGTGAGCCGCCGTGCCGCGCCGCGGACCGACCCGGTGGCGACGGAAGCTCAGAAAGCCCGCTCAAAGAGCGACTCCGCATCTTTGCGAGCGAGTGCTTCTGAGCGCATTCTTCCAAGGCAGTTTGGGCCTAAGTGGCGCCCGTCTGGATTCGTGCTGGCGATTCTCGGTTGCTCCGATCTCTGATCGTGCTCTCTCTCACCCCGCGCCGCTTCGGCACGTGGCGTGCAGGCCATCAACTTCGCGTACCACTTCATGGTCGAGCAGCAGGTGAGCCGCGGCCGCACCACACCGTAGCCCGACATCTCGGAGGGCCGGCCGCGGAATATTCCTCCCCTCCCGTCTCTGCGATTCAGCCACAAACCGTGCCCCCTTGGCTCGCCGCGTGATGACCTCTCCGGCCCCATTGCAGGTCGGCTCCAGCCTCTGCGGCTTCTTCGGCTTCAACGGCACCGCGGGCGTCTGGCGCACGGCCGCCATCGAGGAAGCAGGTGCGCGCAGCCACACAGGAAACAAATCCCAGGAAGAGGCCAGGCACCACTCAAACAAGCGAGGTGTCGTGAGGTGCAAAAATGCTAACCTTGTTGCAATCCCGTTGCCCGCCCAAAAATCCGGGCCTGGGCTCGAAGCTGCATGTGCGGCGACGTTTCATCCTCCCTGTTGTGCGCACCTTGCAGCGTTACCCGCCCGTATGATGGCCTTGCCTTGAAGCCTTGTGTGTTACGCTGCAGGTGGCTGGGACGCGCGCACGACCGTGGAGGACATGGACCTGGTGAGCCGCCACCGCATACCGCCGCTGCCAGCACCGAGCCGGGCAGGCAGGCAAAGCGTGAAGCATGTGTAAACGACGTCCGTGTATGTCAAGCGATCCGACAGTCTTCGCCTGCGGGCAGCCGACGCTCCTTGTTCCGGTCTGCAGGCGGTGCGCGCGCACCTGTGCGGGTACACGTTCCTGTACATGAACGAGTGCGAGGCGCTGTGCGAGCTGCCGTGCACGTACCGCGCCTACTGCAAGCAGCAGCACCGCTGGAACGCAGGTGAACCCCGCCGCCGCCCCGCACCGCGCCAGCCACAGGGCCCCACGTTCAAAGGAATGGGCGGACCCCCGTCCTGGCGGCGCTGCCTCAGCGCTTCCCTTACGTCGTCACTTGAGATCGTTCAGACTGGGGCGCCAGGATACAGGAATCATTGTTTGCGACGGATTGTCTACGAGTGCCCTTCCTCTCGCAACTTGCATCTTGTTGGCTGTTCTTTACTTCTGTCTTCACCTACGACTAGGTTCATACTTTGCGCAATTTGTTAACCGGATACTGTCAATAAGAATCTCACAATCCAGAATTCTATCAGCTTTTCAGCACCAACCTCATTGAAATTTCGCTCTCTATGCAAGTTGCTGCTGGAACAGCCTACTGAAACAGGGGGCCCTCTTAATCACTTTCCATTTACTTTGCACATCAACGACCTGCATCTCCGTTGTTTCTGGCAAACGAAACTGTTTCAAGGAGCCAAGTTCTATCCTTGTGTTACTTTGTTCTCGTCACAATCTTTTGAAGTCTTTGAAGTGTCTTCGGGCCATTGCAGTATCGTGTGCAGGAAGGGCACGGCTCCGTCTCTTCAAAACCTACCAAGCACAAGTCTCAGCGCCTTCGACCTCCCTCATCAGACTGTTTCTCCTTTCGGCGGCATGCATGTTCCGCATCGCAACGATGGGCGCCGCCCACGTGTCGGAGCCTCTCGGCGCGGTTGCTGAGCTGCTGGCGTGTGTGCGGTGCGCAGGCCCGGTGGTGCTCTTCTTCTTGTGCCTGCCCGCCATTCTGCGTAGCCGCGCGCTGGGCGTGGCGCGCAAGGCGTACGTGGTGGCCGTCTTCTTCGTGCTGCGCAAGCTCATCCTGCCCACGCTCGCCTTCCTGCTCTTCTGGTCAGCGCCGCGGCAGGGCATGCCGCGCTGACCGCGCAGGCTGAACGGCCCTTGCTATCTGACTCGTTCCATCCCTTTCCTGTGGGTCCATGCTGTTGTCGATCTTGCTCCTCGCCGCGGTGCCCCCCCCTGCTGCGTGACTGCCGTTGTGCCCCCCCGCGCAGTTTGCTGCTGCCGACGACGATCTTCATCCCCGAGATCTCCGTCCCGGTGTGGGCCGTCTTCTACCTGCCCACCGTGCTCTCCCTCCTCCACACCGCGCCCTACCCCCGGTACGCGCCGCGCCCGTCACAGCTTGCTTACTGGGGTTTCTCCTGCTGCTAAGCGCTCTTGCCCGTTGCCGCCTTCCTGTGCTCTTGGAACGCATGGCTGCTGCTTCCGGCTCCAGGCCGCCTCTCCGCCTGCTGCATCCCGGTGTGTTGGTGACGTTGCGGTGCGCGCGTGCAGGGCGTGGCCGTACCTGTTTCCGTTCCTGCTCTTCGAGAACGTCATGACGCGCACCAAGTGCGGCGCCATCTGGGGTGAGCCGCGCCAGACGGGCAGGCCGGCACCCTACACCGCGAGTCATGCATCTACCAAAAAACCGAGTTTGCCCGATTTGACAAGCGGTATCTCGAGTCGGTCATCAAGCCCAGAGTAATGCAACACAGCATCCCGAGTTTCGGAACGGTTTGCTAAAGTACCTGCAGTCTTGAACCTTGCAGCTGAGGCAGGTACACCTTCTTCAAGACGTTATTGTTTTCAAGCCTCTTCTTCCGATCAGACTTCCCCTCCCCTCTGCTCTGGCCTGACTCGCGCGTTGCTCGTGTGGCACAGACGGGCTGGTGGGTGTGCGCAGCGCCAAGGAGTGGGTGGTAAGCGCCGCCGGCTCGGAGACTTTCGGTTAATTACGGGTTTCCCGGAAAGAAGATGCTGAGGCTTTCAGAAGCTTCGCAAGAAAATTATCAGGAAATACATTCGGTGTTTCCGTCGGCTGCTGTTTGTTGTCCACCGACGGCGGCATCTCATCAGATCGCAGATCGCGCTAAGGTGTCGCTCCTTCGATGCATCATCTGCAAGCGACATGCGAGTCCATCTGGGCCGGCCCTGACGAGTTGCCCACCGCAGGTGACCAAGAAGACGGGTGCCCGCGCCGCCGCTCCGCCTGCCGCGGCCGCGTCTGCTGCTGCGTTCCACCTGGTGAGCGGCGACGCGGTGTCCCCGAGCGCGCGCGCGCTGGCGGGCGCGGGGCTGCTGCAGTCGCTGGAGGACGTGCTGGAGGCGGGGCTGTTCCCCGGGGACCCCACCGACGACGGCGCGGACCTGGTCAGCACGGCCAGCCCCACCGCGCGCCAGGTCGCGCACCTCATGACCGGCCGCGCCCCGCTCCCCGCGCCAGGCGGCGCCACCGGCGAACCTGGCAAGGCGGTCACAGACGGCGCGCCAGCTGATGTCGCGGTGCGGGGGGGCCCGTCGCGGCAGCTGAGCTGGGCGGACCTGGCGCTGGGGGCGTACCTGGTGGTGGCGGCGGGCTGGTCCGTGCTGGTGCTGGACGGGCGGCACGCCTTCTTCCTCGCCTTCCAGGGAGGCGCCTTCCTCGCGGCGGGGCTGGACCTCGTGGGGGACCCCTCCTGACGCGCCGGGCCTGGGAAGAGGGGAAGCGAGAGCAAGGGGCCGGGAAGGGGTGAATGGCCGCGAAGACTTCATACAGTACGCATGCAACATAGGTCAGACGATCCAAGGCTCGGCATGTCGAGCTGTCATAGTAATCGACTGCTCGATCACCTTCGCGCCTTTGCCAAACTTTGGATGAATGAGCAAACATTACGCTGTATCGCTCTACGCTTGCGCAGCGCAGCCAACATGCCGAGCTAGAATAGATGGCAAGTTTTCAATTGTTTGGAAGGTGTAGACTTGGACTCACTTGCATAACGATCCGAAAGTCTGATCTCCAATCAGCATTCCGGTGTAGGCTGCCATCGCCCGATTGACATGGTCCATCAAGCTTTCAATATGATCAAAACTCTTCGACTCTTGCACAACTTCATGAATGATCTTTGAACTACTTTGTCAAAAATGTGTTGAGCGGCCCCTCCTAGACGTACTCAATCATTGAATCCTTACAAGGCTTGACTTCCTCATTTGCAGCGTACGTGTAGTTGGCCTGCACTGCAGGTTAAGTTGAGCATGTGCCACATTTTGGTCCGAATGTAATGAAGTCGATTTTACGGCTGTGGTTGAGAGCGCTGCCTGCAATCACTCACTTCAATTGATTATATGTACCGGCCACATGTCCAACCGCAAATATATTGTTCCTATAGCTTAGTAAGTTGTGCACAGACTCGGATACGATGCATGTAAATGATTTGAGCGCTTGCGTGTCTCTTTTATGTGGCTTCATGCAAGTTACATGTGGTTAGTATAGTAGCAATATCTAGCTGCATGTGGCGTCTTTCTAGAGTTGCTATGAGCTCCGAGCGAGACATGCATTCATTAGCTTGCCCACCCATCGACGCATTGAACGTGTGCATATGCATGAAATTAACCGTGCGCTTATGAGTATGCCTATATTGGCAGCACCAGTTTTTAGCAGCTAGAAACCAGTCCAACATGCGTAGAGCTATAATTTACAGTATATGGCAATCGCTTAAAATCCGATGTGATCGAAACACGCACATGGAACGCGTGCCGGGGGCGGTGCAGAACATATCGACCAACAACAACGCCGAATTTTGGATCGAGTCAAGCAACATTCCCTTCAGACTCACGGTGAAAGCTGCACCGCAGGAAGAAAATTCCGGGGGTGCAATCCTGAAACTAGTTTCGCATCATGCGCCTTCAGTATAGCTAATAGCTATTCTCACGCGGCCGGGAGGAATGCGACCAGGCTCACAGTCTGACGTCGAAGTACACAAGCTCCAGAGCAGAAGTGGCTGTGCGGTACAGAGGACTCCAAGGTTGCATATGCTCGTGCGCACGAGGACATGGCGGACTTCCCGAGTCCGCTTTCCGAGGGCAGATAGCAGGATCGAGATTGTCATCACAGTTCTTCTAATTGGATGGAATGCATAACAACCCCGTTTCGAGATTGTGGAATCCGCGCCCAGCGTCCCAGACGCGGCTCCTGCACAGAGCACACGGCGGGGCTGAGCGCAGGGAAAGCCAATCGTGCCAACAGGCCTGACCCAAAGCAAAGCGGGGTGCCGGCAAGGCCCGGGTGTTCATGTCCCGCAGCCTGTCTCTTGAGCGCTGCACGCCGACAAGCAAGCGGGCGGGATCCCGATGCAGCGAGTCCCTTTGCCCGTGCGGGTGAGTCTGCCCCTGCAGCAGCAGCATACACACAGGGGGCCGCAAGCGGGACCGCGGGCCATACCTGCCCTGTCCCTGCCAGGAGAAACCTTCCGGAGGCGGCGAAGGCGAGCGCGTTCACGAAGCCGGCCTGCACACACGACCACCGGCTTGTCACACGCTGCTTGAACTCAAACAGGACCCACAAAGTGGCTCAGGAGGGGGAACGCTATTGTTCGGGGTACACTGTGCGCGATCCTTGGGCGCGGGGCGTACTGACCGTGGGCAGGGTGTGCAGCGGCCGCAGCCGCTTGTTGCCGTCGTGCAGGCCCCACAGCCGCACCGCGCCGTCCCCCGCCCCGCTCGCCGCCAGGTCGCTCCCACGGCACACCGCCACTGCGCCCACCCACCCCGCCGCGGCCCCGCCCACCGCCGCGCCCGCACTGCTGCTGCTCGAGGCCTCCCCCGGGGCCGCCTCGTGGCCCCCTGCGTCGCGTGCCTCTCCATCCGGCCCGGTCTCTTCGGCGGCGTCCCCGTTTCGCGTGCTGGCTGCCGCGGCCTGCTGGTCCAGGGTGGAGCGATACGCGCCGTGCGCCCCGCGTACCAGGTGCACCGGCTTCTTGCGCACGTGGCTCCACAGGGCCACCGACCTGCGAGCAGCGACGCGCAAATGAGGCGGCAGGCCACAGGACGTGCTAGGAGCGGAGGTGCGACTCAGCAGCTACTGAAGGTCGCTCCTCGCGACTCGCGTCTAAAAGGGGGCCATGTGAGTGTCAAGGACTGGTCAGCACGCCCTGCTTCGCGATACGAACGGTACACGTTGACAATGTGCATCCAATCTCCAGTGGTATGCACATGGTGTTTTCCGCACCATCTACCGTCCTCATCTCAGGTGCTTCCGCCTTGTGTGCTGCGCACATGGTGCGTGGTGGCCTCACCCGTCCTCGGAGCCGGAGATGAAGTCGGTGGGCGTGATGAGCGCGGCGCAGTCGATGGCCGCCGCGTGGCCCCGGAACACGAGCTGCGTCTCCTCGGGCACCTTCCACAGCCGGCACGTGCGGTCGCGCCCCGCGCTCAGCACGCGCTCCGCACGCAGACAGTCCACCGCCACCACCTCGCTCTGATGCCCAAACCTGCACCCGAGTGCACGTCAGCACCCACGCTCGCTAGTGACACTGCCTGGCCGCTACATGGAGAGCAGGTCCGGCAAGGGGCACCCAACAAGCCAAGCGGCACATCGGGTGGCAAGCGGCGATAGTGCAACAAGCAGCGAGGGCGAGGCGGCCGCGCAGGAAGGGCGGGTGGCGCTCACAGGGAGTCCATGTAGGCCATGTCGTCGAGGCTCCACAGCTTGATGGAGCGGTCGAAGGAGCCGGAGAAGAGCTGCGCCGTGCCCACCCGGAACGCCAGGCTCTGCACACACCGCACACCACAGCGCAATCCGGTAACGCAGCAGGGGAGGGGCGGGCCAGGGCGGGCAGACTGGGGGTGCGAAACGAGAAGGGGAGCAGCACACCTCACGTGTGCGTGAGTGGGGCTGACAGGAGACACGGCGGGGGGCGAAGGGGCAAAAAAGACATTGACTCCAGTTCAGGGAATGTTGCAGGCGAAAGCGAAAGCGAAGGGGTCTAGAAGCGCGCTGAAAAAGTGGGCCGAAAGAGCTTTGGAAGAACGGGACTACACTAAAGCCAACGAGGGCGAGAGCTTGTGACCTGCGACTCTCTTTTCAGTGCATGCTCACGCATACATGCAAGGTGGGCCGTTGCTCACCGAGACGGTGCCGCGGTGGCCGGAGAAGGCGCGCAGGTACTGGTGCGCGCGCACGTCCCATACGTGGATGGAGCGGTCCACACCGCCCGCCGCCAGGTAGCGCCCGTCGCTGCTCACCTGGACACCACCGCCACGCACGCATCACCGAGGGGTGTCGTCACAAAAAGAGGCCACGGAGGCCGATCAGCGGGGTCAGCAGGGCCGGCTGGGCAGAGGCACACACAGAAGCGAGCGCGACTGGCGAGCCCCATCAGCGGCGGCAGTGCTGGGGGCAGCAGCGGTGCCTAGTGCGGCCAGTACAGCCTTGCAATCCAACGTAGGCCTTCACAGAGCTGCCAGGGTCAGCGCCCAGAGAGCTGCTCCCACCACCGACGTGCAATGAAGTGACTTTACAAGGGCGGATGGCCTAGGACCGCACGCCAGGCAGCCCACCAGCTGAACTGCCGAGCCGGAGGAGGCGGACTCTGGGCCTACACCACAGAGCTTCACAGAGGAGGCCAAGGTCTCCAGGTGGGTGCCAGTCGCGAGACCCGCTGACCGGCCCGTCCCTCACACAGGTTGCTACATTCGCCCATGATGTCAGGCCACTGTATCACGCATTGTGGCCCAGCCTGCATGCTGCGAGGTGGCTGGAGAGGACTCACCGCCAGCGCTAGTAGGGCCTTCATCCTGGCACCCTCTGGCAGCGGCAGCGCGCTCGACCCGCCCTTTTCTACGTTCCCTGCACTCAGACAGGGAGGAATCACTCGTTTGAAAACATTCTCAATGAGGCCCGGCAGCCAGGAGCAAGGCGCAGAGGGCCCCCCAGATGGGCAAGACAGGGGGCTCCCAAGGCAGAGGTGCGCGGCTTCAGCGGCGCCACTCACATTGCACGACCACGCCATCTTTGGAGGCGGCAAATGCCTGGGTGTCGTCGTGTGTGAGGGCGAGGGCTGTAACGGCGTGTCGGTGGCGGCGCCCCACCGGTACTCCGGGTGGCGCTTGGCCCTGGTGGACCACCCGCGCCGCCAGTGGGCGCTGCGCGCGGCCCGACGCTTCCGCCTGCACAACCAGTGAGGGCGCTCTAAGAGGCGGGACACGAGGGAGCGCTGCAACGAGGGCCGAGAGGCGCGCCGCCCAGATGGGAAGTTTCAGGAGGTGATTTAATGGCCAGGGCAATGGAGGCAGTGCGCAGCGGCTGGCGACAATGCGGCTCACCACCTCGCTCTGCAGGCGGGCGGCCACCAGGGAATCGCGGTGCACCGCCCGGTCCGCATCCTCGTCCTCCTCGCCACTGACGTCAGCATCAGCAGCCGCACGCACCCTCGCCAAATACGCCTTGGCTGCAAGGGCAGGAAGCAGCTCACGATTGACATCCAAACGGAGAGAGGGGACCGCGCTGGCGGCTGCCTGGGGACAAGGTAAGAGAGGGTGGCTCACACGCGAGGGGCCAGAACATGGCTAGTCCCCACCTTGTTCCAGCACCCAGCTTGCTGGGCCAGGCGCCCGACAAGCAGCCAAACCACTTCAGGGTTGATCAGGAGAGGCCGGACTGCTGCACAAGGCATGCTTGCAATGGCACAACCAGATCAGAGGTGTGTCTCCTGAACAGGGCCAGCGAGGGCTGCCCCTGCCCACCCCGGCAGGCTGCCCGCTCGCCCCGTCAGCGGCGCAGGGCCAGAGTGCGCACCTAGACGCAGCCGCTTCTCATCCGCCGTCTCCTCCGGCTCCTGCTCACTGCCCTCCTCGCTGGGGGCCCCTCCGTGCTCCTACACGGCCGCACCACCACCGAGCATGAGCGCCGCACACAGACGCCAATCACTGCCAATGCAGCCACACTGCTCCCTCCAGGAGGCAGCCCACATCCATCAGGCATGCCCCAAGGGCAACCACCCCATCCACAGTGCACAGGCTCTTCAAAGCATCTTTTCACAACATTGCGCCTTTCACCACCTGTGTCAAGTAGCACCACTATTGAGGCCCCACAGGCAGGGCGACAAGAGCGCGCCAGCCTGGTTGAAGCATGCACTAGCTGCTAGTCCCTTGTTTATCCATTTAATGCGGTGCCCCACCTGCGCACCCTCCTCGCCCAGGAAATCCGCCTCCTCATCCTCCTTCTCCTCCTCCTCCGCATCTCGCCGCTTGGTGCGCTTCTCAGGCCGGGGGGCCCCTCCTGGGCCACCCCGCGCAGGCCGCTGCAAAGCGGCACAATTGATACAGTGATGAAGGGGCAGATAGGGCCAGCAAACAAGGGGGCCTACTAGAACAATCCCAGACCAAGGAGTGGGCAGGCGTTATTGAAGCAGGCAGCAACAGCCTCATGAGAGCACCTTTACCAACACATCTAATGCATCGGATCAGATGCGGCAACGCTAGTCGAGCTAGCTGGTGGCACGAACTGCCACGTGCCATGGACCCTGCCCCTGGTGGACGGGAGTAGGGCTCACCTTCTTCATGCCCTTCTGCTTCGCCATCCGCCCGGCTGGGCAACCCCAATGCTTCACGCCCTAGGCTGGAAGCCCAAATGACAGACCCTTGTCACAAGACGGTGGCAAACTGCGCTACATAAGCCAGATGCTCCTGTCCTAGTTTTGAATAAGGTATGTCTGGGCCGAGCACTGTAGCAGCCATTAATGCCTCGTGTTTTGCGAGCGCTCTAGCTAGCTAGCCTAGTAAGGCTAGAGGTGTTCTGAGAGCAACTTACAGCAGGGCGGCACGCCGCGCCCGACTTGCGCCCCGGCGGCCGCCCGCCACGGTAACCACTGCCTTGAAGAGCAATCGTTACCGTGCGATCCCGGAGCCAACTTTATAATAGTTGAGGCCACCGCCAATCTATGTTGTTTCGTCGTATACAGGCGATTTTGGCAGTGTTACGGAAACCGGCAGTCGGCAACCAAACCGATGTACAAGGGCAGTGTTCTGCCGTAATAATATATTTCGCCCAGAGTGTATGACCGGCAGGCCGACATAATGACGGTCTTTCAGTCAGCCGGTGCGGAGCCAAAATTGATCAGATGATTCAGATCTTCATTTGCTGGAACGGAGATTGCACACATGTGGCTGCCCCTTCGATCGCGGACGAGACACTGCAATTTGCAAAGTGAAGTGCGATCTGCAATTTCAAACTTCAAAGGCGATCCAGCCGTCGGCGTCTGGTGACAGCAATTTCAAAACTTGGTTTTCGATGGCCAATGAATCAGGCACTCCATGGCATCAATGGCGTGTTCTTGATGCAGCTCCAATTCCAAGTCAGCTAGGGCGGTGGCTTTGACTGGTGGCCGACAGCTTGATTTACGGTAGCTCATTCAGGTATGGCTGTCTAAAGGTTTTTTTCGTCCATACGGTGAATACATTTCCATGATGAACGGCCTGCACAGCGGACAGCTCCTATGAACTCGTCCGGCATTGAAAACAGGGGCTTCGATTGGCGGAGAATCTCGGTGAAGAATAAGTGCCTGTGAAAGTTTCCATGTGAAACCTCAGCATTGCATGTTTGCGCTTTCACAGATGACTTTTCACTGCAAACTTTTCAGAAAACCCGCATCAGAGATTGTGGCAGTTGGTCCGTAGTCAGACTTCTGCAATTATGGATGGAAACTCCCGAGAGCAGCAGTTTGTTGATCCGCAGGTGATCGTACCTCCAATAATCGCTGATGATGGCTTCTGTATATTCAATCTAAAATGTAGGGTGAATCAATCTTCTTTAGCCTGGACTTTCTTTGCTGCAGGTATTTACTCCAGAGAGGCAGGATGCATGCCTTCCGTTGTCTCTCCGCGCGCGTCCTCAAACAGCATCGCGGCGCCAGGACATCACTCCTAGATGAGGTGGCAACCCTACACAAAGCCACGGCAGTGAGGACATTCCACAAGAGCCCCCTCCAAAACCGCAGCTCCGCCGCCGAAGCGGTCCGCCTTGAACCTTTTGAGGATGAAGCAGCCCCCAGTAGCGAGTGCCTTCCCACCACCACGTCAGGCTGGGAGAAGGCAGGCAGGGGCCCTAGGGCAGGTGCTTCTCGATTGAGAGGGAGGGGGTCTGAAGAAGAAGGGCCTCCCATTGAGGACTGGCGGACAGCTGCAGGCTATCATGCGAGCACTTCCGGACGGGGGTTCCAGAGGGGGGTTGCGGATGGTCAAGGGGAGGTTGCAGATGGTCAGAGGGAGAGGAGGTTGCGAGAGATGGCCCGAGCAGCCCCCCGTTTCGTGTGGCAGGGTGGGGGCTCTGCAGAGCCGGCAAGGGTGACGGCTCCGCATGCTGGGGGAGGAAGCAGCCAGTCTGGGGACGGCCCTCAGTTCCCCCCATTGCCGGAGCAGGTCTTTGGGAGGCCTTCGTCCGCTCAGGGGCAGAGACAGGGTATGCTTGGATGGAAGGATAGTCCGGCGCCGGAACCCTTCAACAGGGAGAATATCAGCGTCCGCCAGCAAGCATTAGAAAGCAAGCTCGAAACACACAGATCCGGAGAGTCACCCTTAGCAAACCCCTCACCATTAAGGGGTTTCGAAACAGAATCTCTAGTTGATGGGTTTTCAGGGTTTCGGATCACGCCGCCGCCGCCGCTTGACGACCCTGACGTTTCTCCAACCCTGGTTGACAACTTTGGACGACGTCATACATACCTGCGCATCTCGCTGACGGAGCGGTGCAACCTGCGATGCAAATACTGCATGCCAGCGGAGGGAGTGGAGCTGTCGCCGAGCGACAGCTTGCTGTCCACGGACGAGATACTACAATTGGCGACGGTCTTCGTTGCAAATGGTGCGTTCAATCTTCCTTACTTGCAGTGTCTCCACAAGGCTTCCTTGACAAACGGTGATGTCAACTCGATTCTGGGTCACTATTGCATCATGTCCGATTGGAGTCCAGTAACCGGAGATCCGCTGCACTCTGCAGTGGTCTCGACTGGAGGCGGTGTGCTTTGGGCACTTCTAGGGTCCCGTAAGGCGGGGCATTCCTGCTTGAGATGGTTGAATGACAAAAGATACTTCGAGTCACCGCAGCACGCTTGCACCTCAAGCAATCATTTAAGGGTTTCCGTTAAATCCTTCTGCTGGGTACAACATAATCATGAGAAAATGGTTTCAATTGCTGCGTTGAACAGGCACTGTAATTGAACAGGAGAGCTCGAGTTGGCACAGACTGTAGCCCTGTTGGTTCCATTTATCCCATTAGGGGCTGAATGGCAAAGCAGTGAGTTCCCGCTGTGCCGACCAACAGAGTGAACCATTGGCCACTGAAGAGGCCACCTGTCGAAGCTGGTTGTCCTTCGACCCGCTGTCTATGTTCCTTGTGTGCAGGCGTCGACAAGATTCGGTTGACTGGCGGCGAGCCCACCATCCGCCGGGACTTCGTCGAGATCTGCCGCGGGCTGAAGCAACTCGACGGGCTGCGAACGCTGGCAATCACCACCAACGGACTCATTCTGCAGAGGCAGCTTCCGGCCCTCCGCGACGCGGGGGTGGATCTGCTTAATATCAGCTTGGATACGCTCGTGCCGGCCAAGTTTGAGCTGCTCACGCGGCGGAAGGGGCACCACAAAGTACTGCAGTCAATCGAGAGGGCCCTCGAGCTGGGGTACGACCCGGTCAAGGTGAGGCGGGTGGGGGGGCAAGAGCTTGGGTTTCACGATGAAGGTCAGAGGGTTGCGTTGTCTGGTTCGAAGTTTTGTGTGTACTTTCCTGCAGAAGATTGCGATCGCCTTCTGTAGGAATTGAACAGTGCAAATAGGCCTATACGAGCCTTGTCTTCTTTGGAAGTGTTCGCATCCGGGCTTTTACCAGTGACAGTCTCGATCTGTGTCCGTGATCAGGCAAGGACAGGCGCAGTATTGTTTTCTCAGTGGGCTTCGGTTATCCTTCTTTGCTGAATTCGTGGTAAATTTTCTGCAGGTGAGTTGGTCACTTGATGGGCAGTGACTCTTGCGGTGCAAGAGGCACGTGCCTGGGTTCAGCGCAAAGCAGGCCTCTTGGGCACCGGCCTCTGTCTCCTTTGTTCCTGCGCTGATCGGGTCACGCTGACCGGATGCCGGGTGGTGTTCAGGTGAACTGCGTGGTGATGCGCGGGGTGAATGACGACGAGGTGGGCGACTTCGTGGAGCTGACGCGGGAGCAGCCCGTCAACGTGCGCTTCATCGAGTTCATGCCCTTCGACGGCAACGTGTGGGACTCCAAAAAGATGGTGCCCTACGCGGAGCTCATGGCGGCCGTGGTGAGCGCTGTGATTATGTCGGCCATCTACCTCAGGATTGTCCTTGTGTGTAATCAAACCTGACGGCCTCGTTCTGATGCTCTGCACGCAATTGTGGCAAGTGCCTTAGAAGGGGGTTGAGGAATGCAGTGGAGGGTCTGGCGATTCACTGCCTGTTGGCGACTAGCTGATAAATGGAAAGAACGGTGGACGTCTTGGACTTATACCTTTTTATGGCAGCGTGCTAAGGTAGTGAACAGAAAAGAATGGGCGAGTTCTCTTGATGCGCATTGGTGATACCGTCCATGACTGGATGACATGTGTCGGAAATCTGGCGCCCAATGATCTTCTCACGAAGCCAATGGGGTAAGCGGGTTTTTTGCCAAAACGGCAGAGGGTGCCTCCCTCCGGGATTGTTGGCTCACGCGTGACTGGCAACAGGGCGCGGTGACAGGCACCCCGTCGGCGTGTGATGTGGGCCTGTCCGAACGCAGCCACAAACTGTCCTGACTTTTCGTGCAGAAAACCAAGTATCCGACGATTGCGCGTCTGCAAGACCACCCCACAGATACCGCAAAGGTGATGTGGCTCCATGGCTCGTCCTCGAGAAAGCACGCAGTGGGGTGACCCGTCGCAAAAGTCCCCCCTTCAAGCACGGGCCAAAAGCTTTACTACGGGCTTGAACTGGACACTGGAAGCGTTTGTCCAGGACTGGATGCCGTTGGAAGAGCGTGCTCTCTTGTCATCTTAGAGGTTTTGGTGCGTGCGTGTAGGCAGCTTGAAGCACGTGCTCCTTGCCCATACCCGCACATTGCGTCCTTGCAGAACTTTCGGGTGGAGGGCTTCCGCGGGACCGTCTCGTTCATCACCTCCATGACCGACCACTTCTGCGCGGGTGAGGCCAAGGGGGCAGCGCCGTCAGGAAAGACGAGGACAGGCCGAATACGGGGGTCTGACATGAGGATGTGCTGTTTCGGATTGGAAAAGGTCATATAGCGGTTCCGTGCGTCGCTTTGGGAAAATACAGACAACTGCTGTAAAACGTGCTCCAGCGCTCGAAATGCAACACCAATCTCGATATAAAGCCGTCGAAGTGTTCCGCCAAAGTACCTCTGGAAAGTCTTCTGATATCGGTATCGGCCTGCCGATCCGGCGGGCAGTCAAGCCGCCTCGCCAGCTTCGAAAAGCATCACGGACGAGTGCAATGATTACAACACCCCTGCCGCATTGATCAGTGTCCGACGTAGTTCGAAGGCCGCATGTCGTCTTAGATCCTGCCTTCAACGAGCGCAAACATTCTTGAGATTCCCTCCGGTTGTTGGATTGCACCTTGTACCCTGAGTCAATCGCTACCCCTCACAGCAAGCCAGTTTGCAGTCCCTCCTGATTCCCGAGAGTACTGTTGTCCTTCTTTTCCCGGGAATAAGGAGACTCTTCTCGGCTGGCCTGTTCCTTCTTCGTCGAGAGAGCCGTTACTTTGGCTGGACTGACACACGCATCCCGTGGCAGGGTGCAATCGGCTGCGGCTGATGGCGGACGGGAACCTGAAGGTGTGCCTCTTCGGGCCCGCGGAGGTGAGCCTGCGGGACGCGCTCAGGGCGGGGGCAACGACCGGGGGACTCGAGGACATCATCGGAAGTGCGGTGAGGCGTCCCGCCCGGCAAAGGTCGCCGGCCTTTCAGGTTACGAGGTTCAGCACTGTCTGTGCCCGCATATTGTGCCTCCATCTGGTGAAGGCGTTTGTGGGTCAAAAGCTTGACAGTGGCTCAGGTCAAGGGGTATATCAGTGCTGCCATATCTCATTCCCTCTGGGCAGCTTCCCGATGCTTCATCTGTCGATACTCAAGTGCGTTTCGACGTTTCTATCAATGGTGGATTGAAGTAACTTGCTGGCAAACCTTTTTTTCCCCTCCGCTACCTGGTCCGTGAATTTGCTTCTTTGTCGAGCCTTGTTCATATCGACCTGGCAGGAAAAGGCGACAGTTGGGGGCAACTCGCGTCCGTGCTGTTCACTCAGACCTGAATGTCTATTGGCTGCTTTGACGCAGGTGAGACGGAAGAAAGCGCGCCACGCGGGCATGTTTGAGATCCAGCGTACTCAGAACAGGCCTATGATCCACATAGGCGGCTAGGGGCTTGCGTAAGGAAAATGTATTTGACACTGTGTATAGCATCAAGATCAGTGTTTGATAGAAAGAAGTGGGTAGGTATTGGCAGCTAGCTCTCTTGGGAATAGAATGCTCTATGCAAGAGAGATACATTTAGCCTGGTCAGGATATCGGAATTGTTCATCTTTAGCGGGTTACATTTGCGCAAATTGACACGGCTTGAGCCTGCGATGGGAGGCCTCATCGTTGCATTGAACCGTTGGCCGGAAGGCCAGACTGACGACTGTGACTTTCATGGCAATCTTCTCTTGCATGCAAGAGTGGACGATTTATCATGAACATGCATCACGGTTCAATCTAAAATCTGAAAAGCGATTCTAAAAAGTTGAAGTACGAAGATGTCGGAAGCAGCAAACCTAAATCGCAGAAGCGCCACGTGCTGCCCGGCCACACTCATGATTGCTTGTACGGTATGTAAGGCTTAATTCATGGGTGAATTGAAAGGGGGATCGATATACGTCTGCATGCATGCTAAGATTATAAGCGCGTTCGCACATGTGACTCTTGTATCTACGCATGCAGTACCCGTACGTCCACGCAGGCCGAAAATATATATATTCCTAAAATCAATATTGGCCAATCAAACAATTAAGTCGAACGCTGATCATTTATGTGCACGCCATCGCTGGCCCCCACTAAGCCTGATATTACAAGTCCTGTGCATTGGACTTGCATCATTGTATATTGTACAAGGTCCGGGCTCATGGCGGCATGAACGAGTATACGGTAACCAGATTGAGGCGCATTCGTGAAGGATCAAGGCCATCGGACTCAACTTGCAAGAACTTTCCTTTAGATGATGCATTGTGAGGCTATTACCAGCAAACATGTCGTGGATCAATATTGTTAGTGTTATTCATGAAAGCCATCATGACGTGACAAAAGCCTCCACGAATTTCTGCCAGGATCTACTGTGATACACCTTGCCTTCTGCCGTTGCTGTTGCAGGTTCGAAGTACACTCTACCTCATTTTCCTGGTCGCATGCTCTTCTTCTACAGTTTACCAATTCCTGGCGCTGATCTCTCCCATCACGTATGTCAAACTGCAATGCTCAGACTGCTATTGCCATTCCTTTTTTTTGCATGTTGTCTAGGATACCGTTGACCGCAAAGCACACCGCTGCGATCTGCAGAAGATGGACGTGGCGATTTACGGCTGGGTATGGAAACGAGAGATACGAGCTACCCTTTGCATTTGACTAGGCCTCGAACACGCCTTGCTGAAGTTGCTTTGCTCGAGTGTGCTGAGGGCCCACAGACCATCTGAGAGCGTACAGCACCCCAATTTCCCCGCGTGCATTCACACGGTTGGCCGATTGCCTCTACGGCCACCGCCGAGCACGTTGAAGGCTCACCTGGTGGTCCCACTGTTTGATCTCCTCCGTCTCCGTCTCGAACTGGATGATGCCCTCGACCTGCGGCCACGCACAGCCCAGGTGAGCCGACCTGCCCGGGAATGCACAGCCAAGCGCGGTCCCAGCACTGCGGGCGGATCTTGCCAACTTCGAGAGCAACAATCCCAGCACCAGGCAGGGGGTTACCAGCCAGCCGCTATCCATGCTCAGACGGCATTGGGCGCGCTGGGCAGCTTGCCGCGGCAACCTGGCCGAGGAGCGGCCAGACGCCCGGGACATAGCGCGGGGAGAGGGCGCACCTGATCGATGGATCCCTTCATGCGGTCCTGCGCAACCATGCGCGCAGCAATCCTCTCGGCCTGCCAGCAGTCAACCGAACGGGTCAGCGTTGCAGGACAGTCCGCGGGAAGATAGCCTCAAAAGGAGAGGTCCTCTGCAGTGCGGCGGGGCCAAACGGCAGCGGAGGGACACAGCGCACCAGCTCTCGCGTCCTGCTACAGTTTTTGCAGGCCGCCGGGTGCGGGCTGACCTTGTCGGGGGCAATGCCGAGGAGGGCGCCGAGCTCGAGGAAGGTGATGTTGGTGTACAGCTTGCTCGCACTCAGCAGGTTGTGCTCAATCACCGCGCGCGCCAGCACCGTCGACCCGTCCGCGGTCAGCGCTTGCTGCACGCACAACACATGCGTCAAGGCAGGCACGCAGACGCGCTCCAGCGAGGCAGGCCGCGTCGGAGCAGGGGGGCGGGGCGGCAGTGCGCAGCGCGGATGTGGGGGCCTGGAGCCGCACCTGGTGGGGCTTGAGGTCCTGCGCAAAGGCCGCCACCTCGGCCTGGCGCAAGATGCGCTCCAGGTACACCTTCTGCAGGATGGGGTACACCGGCAGGGCCGCGCACCGCTCGTCCTGCACGCGCAGCGCAGCACGGCTTCAGCCAAGCAGTCGGACAGCTTGGGGGCAGGGCGGCAGCAGGGGTTGCAGAGACACACACGAGGATCACACGAGGATCGCAGCAGCCTGAGCAGCTCAGCAGCCAGGGCACACGACGAGGGCTGCCCCATGACGCGGGGCGCCGTTGCTGCGGGGTAGCGGGGTGACCTTGTAGAGGGTGGCCAGCATGCGCGAGCGCTGGGGGCCTGCCCCGGCCAGGATGGTGCACGTCACGGCCGCAGTCAGCGCCTGCTGCAGGTCACCCTCGTCCACGCGGCTGCACCGACAGTGGGGGAACAGTCAGACCCAGACGCCTGGAGCGGGCCACGACAGAGGAGATGCAGTGCGGGGGGCGGCGTGGCCACGTGCAGTGCTGTAAGACTGTACAGCAGGAAAGTGCGCATGCCTTCTTCTTCAGGCGAGGCTGGCAGAGCAAAGCTTTGGCGGAGGCCCAGGAGTGAGGGACCGCACAAATTTGATGCGCACTCGGGTGGCCTCACTTGGCAACCGTGTTCGTCTTCTCCCATTGCGACAGCTCATAGTAGCGCAGCGCCGCCTCTTGGAACTTGCGCTTCGCGTCCAGGATGCGCGCGTAGCACACCTGCCACACACCACAGCCCCACAGCATTACTCGCAAGCTGCTCCTTCCCAAAGTCTGGGGCTTCACTTATTCCTCGCAGGCGGGCCTTAGGCCGTGCAACTGCCAGCGGCAAGGGACCCGAATGCCTAGTTCAAAACAACTTCTGCTGGCTGGGACATGCACGGTGTCACGAGGGTGATCGCCAGGAGGTGCGGCACGCGGGCGGAGGCAGGGGAGGTGCACCCACCTTGTACTGCAGTTCGAGCGCCTCCTCTTTACAGCTGTTGACCAGAAACGAGGCTTTCTTGATGAACGTCTCTGCATTCACAGCATCATCATCCTGGGGCACAGACAAACACTCCGCGTGAGACCAAACACACGTCGCAGAGGGGGCTGGACAACAAGAGCAGCGGACGTCTTAACAGCAGCGCACCGCCGTTGCTTGCAGGCATGAGTTGCACGCATGCGTCTTAGGCGTGTCCGACCTGCAGGTAGAGCATGGCGATGTGGATGCACTTCTCCAGCTTGTACCGATCGTCCACCACCCTGCAGCAGTCGCACACGGTCAGCACCACGCAGAGGGGGAAGGACACTCAAAACAGAATGCACAATGGCTCACTCAGCAAGAGGAAGCATGTACAGCTCCAAGTCATCGCGTGTGCCTCATGTCACTTGTTCAGCAGTTTGGGGGCTTCTCTGCTCACCTCATGCCTGTGTCCAGGTCAATCCCACTCAGCATTTGAGCCGCTTGCGTCCATTCCTCATCTCTCTCATAGATGGAGGCAACACCCTCTCGGATGGTCGAAACCTGCCGGGGACCAGGCACGCTTGAGGCTGGGGATCACATACGCATTCCAGGCCAGACACGTGGACTGTGAGGCAGCATAGCTGGGCGCCCAACGACAATCATGGCTGCTGCTGGACGTGGTGGCGGCCTGACCTGATCTTCGAATGACACGACGCGCGGCTGGATCTTGGTGAGGGCGTGGTGCGCCACCGCCTTGTGCACCTGCGGCTGCAGCGTGGGCAGGGAGGTGGCAAACTGCTGCAGCAGCTGCCGCGAAGCAACCAGCGGGACGTCGTCCGACACCACTGCAAAGGACACGCAGCAGGGGGCGTGCAGCTGAGCAACCGGGCAGGCCGACACTGCCATACCCACCACGCAATTGGACCGACTGCGGCCTCAAGGTTCATCCACACCCCACGATTGTCCAAGGTCAGAAAACAACAAGCTCAATGCTGATGCAACATGTTGGGACAAGTCTGCGCCTTCGCCATGAGACATGGAACTTACTGTGATCAACGAAGGCCTTCGCATCTTCTGCGTGATTGCGGGCAAGAACCGACTCCAGCACCTTTTTATAGCGCTCAATCTTCATCTTCTGATCGCTTACTGCAGCGATTTCACGCAACACTGCGCCAATTGTCGCCATAGTTCGCCGGCTGTGACTGAGATTCAGGAAAGCCTGCTGTGCTTTTGACGCCTTTCCTGCAATGCAATGAGTATCTGGAAAGTATTAGCTTGAAGGCCTATTAGTATTAGTAGGTAATACAGAAAGTAGAGAGCAGTGTTGCGGAAGTTCACAGCCAACTCTTCTTCAACTTGATGTCATCAGCAAGGTATGACTTGGACCGAAGTGTCAACATTATCCCTTGGCGGCAGCGACAAATTCCGTCGTGCAGTAGGTATCTTTCTGGCACAGCTTGCGGACGTTGGGAAAAGCGGCTACTCAGGCGCCGGTACGCGAGGGACCTTCAAATATCAAGCTGCGCTTGAACAGACCGGACGGCAAGGAGACGCTACCCGCAGTAGCCGGTCCTTTTGAACTCGGCGATCAAATTTTCTGAGAATTTTGCTTCCAGCATTGATCCGGACCAGGGTTTCCCACGGAGTTTCGTCCCGGCCGGCCAGTTGCCGGCGGCCCCCCGGTTCTGTCGGCTCGGTTGCTGACATTTGGCTCTACCGGCCGGCTGAGCTCACTATTTGCCTGCTTTTCAGCCGGCTAGCCAGCCGGCGGGGTGCCTTCGGCACCGGCCGGGGTCCCTTCTCGGCCGGCCAGGTCCAGGTTCTGTTGCCGGCTGTGGGAAACCCTGATTCGGACAAGCCTTGAGGACAAACGCTTGGACCAAGTTCCATGCAAGTTCTACCCTTTCTTTCGCAGCTTTGCGCACGCTTTGCGTTGCAAGGGCGGGGTACCCATTGCATAAAAACTCGGTTCAGCAGCTGAAGGCCTTTCCAGGGCGTGGTAATGTAGGGGCGCATATATGCTCTCAGGTTCACGTTCTCTTGCCAAAATGTTGTGTAGCCTCGAGACTCTCCTGTTCATGCAATGCATGTGAGGCAAACAAAGAAGTATCCCTTCTAAAAACAATTGTGGTGTTACGTGCTGGGCACAGTTTTGGCCTGTGGCAGCTGATAGTGGTGGCGGCAGGTGCCATCTGTGTCCAGGCTGCTGCTTTCAGCAGGTGTTGTGTTGCTTGGATCGGGCCAACCTAGCAGTGTCCTGTGATCCATACCTGTCAAGGCCATTGCTGTGGCCTTATGCCTCCTCGTGTGATTGGTCGGTCATTCGGACTTTTGCAGTGCAGGAATTTGGCTGGTTTGATTCTTTTCTTGGAGCCATGGTGCTTTCGTGCCCGCCACCGCTGGCCAGCCAGCATTGCTGTGCCCCAGGGTGTCCTGGGGACCATACACCAGGCCTATGTGGCCCATGTTGCTGCACGTTTCGCTCAGGCGCTCCTGCATATCTCCTTGTCGATACTCATCAAGTCGCCAGTAATGGTTGTGCCCGTGGTGCGCACCACCAGACATTCGTGGCTTGTGTCATTGTCCAGGAACCCCCCGCCAATTCTTCCACTGTCTCCCGCACCCTGCAGGCCCGTTCCCCAGAACCAGGGCCACTGCTGGCAGCCACATCTCGCCTCTAGTCTAGGAGCACTTGCGGCGGCCTCCACTGCCGGTAAGCCAGCTCATGGTGCCCCCCATGGCGGCCCCATTTGATGCGAGAGGGGTGCTCTATTCGCGAACCTTGCTGGCTATGCACACAACCGAGCCTGGACACAGCCCATTGTGGGGCCAGTGGTATGCCCACTGCATCCGCGATTTGTCAAAGCCCAACCGCATGCCGGGGGGCCGCTCTGCGCCCGGTGCACCACCACTGCTTCCTCGGGTATATGGTTGGGTCTTCCGCTTCATATCCTGGTGGCTTTTGCAGGCGCGGTGCCTGCTCTTGGCCCCACGTTGTGTTCCTGGGGAGGGCGCCCCTGCTGCCAGCATGTACGGCGGAGGTGCGCCTGCCCGCTCCTCCCCTCTGCCAGCAGGGCACTGCATGTGGCGCCTAGTCACAGTAGGAGATCCTCCTGTGGACTAGTGATGGCGGTGGAGTAGGGGCTGGTCTGCTGCCTCTGCGCCTATTGCTGTGCTGGCCTGCCCCTGCCCCCTTGTGTGCTCTCTTGCTGAGGTGCCCTGCCCTGCTGCTTGGCTGTATGCAGATGAGGTGTCGGCCATCGTGGTCGATGTGGGCTCCCACACGTGCAAGGCGGGCTACGCAGGGGAGGATGCCCCCAAGGCCGTCTTCCCCTCGGTGAGGATGCGGGGCCGCCCGCCCTGGCTCCTTCTACCTTGCTTTCACATGGCAGGGCTGCTCCGCTGCTTCTTCCCCTCTGTTGTGGTTCCGGCTTCAGCTGGCTGTCCCCCCCCCTGGTAGCCCCTCCCCCCCCTCTCGCCCTTGCCCCCTGACGGTGCTGCGCTGCGTGACCAGGTGGTGGGGGCGGTGCCCGCGGGGCCCGCCAACGATGGGGGCTCTGCACCCTCAGCAGCAGACGGCTCGCACCCCCCGCCGCGCAAGCTGTACACCGGAATAGCGGGGCTGGGCTACAGGCGGGACCACATGGAGGTGAGCCGCATAGCCAGGCTCATGCCAATTGATTGACGGTCCCACATCTTGCACTGCCACGTGATCACCAAGCAATCGCACATTGTGAGGTTTGGCGATGCTGTCCTCCTTACTTACGAAGAGGGCGGAATGTGATAGCACTCTCCAGTCCCCACTATTTTTGTGTTTGAATATTAGTAACGCACAATTTCCATTTTCCTGCGTGTAAATTCCGAAGGATTCGTGGAAGACGACTTTCTTGGAAAGCCCCCTGCTAAAATCTGTGCAAAGAGAGCGGTCGGTCAAGTGCCGGGTTTGTGATGCACGATGTGGGATCGGATGTAATTGGCATGAGAGGGGCAGACAGGCGCGGGGCACACAGCGCTGCGGAGGCGGTGTCAGGGGTCCGGTGGTGGGCGCCCATGCTGGCAGCGCCGGCGCAGCAGCGGCTGCGCTGTGGCTAAGGCTGCGCGGGGCTGAGCGTGGGTGGCCTGGCGTGGCGCAGGTGGTGCCCTGCATGGAGGCGGGCCTGGTGGCGGACTGGGACGTCCTGGAGGCGCTCTGGGACCACGCGCTCAGGTACAGCGGCCACAGCACGCACCCCCAGCCACAGACAGCGTCTCAATCGAAGTCCTGTATATCCAAACGGTCATCCTAAGGTCCTGTGCCTTGAGAAGTCACTTGTCAAAGCACCGATGACTCCTCTGGAACTTCGTGTAGTCGGCACCTTGGCATCTGATACCGTCCTTGCCGGCCATGCTATACCCCGCCCCAAGACTTCGACCGGCGAGCTGTGCCCGGCTTACTGCCACTGGCCAGCACGGGATCGGCTCGATTGACCTGTTCTTGACAGCGGCAAGCTGATACTGGTCGTAGTAAAGGACATACCTCTCTCCTGTCTTCAACTTGCGTGTTCGTTGCAAATCACCATGTGCTCTTGACCTCAGCTTTTCCATCCTTCATTCTGTCACATGACCTCTTCGGTTGCTCTTTTCCCAAACGTCGATCCAATTCCGCTTTGCTTAACGTCCACCCTCCCAGTTCCAGGCAGTGGAAGATGTTTCGGGGCAGGGCCATGATGCAGATGGCACACCCCAAGATATTTTTGACTGCCTAGCACCATCGCTCGGCGGCCCCATATCCTGCTGTGCTCGTCCTGGTGCGCTCTGACGCGCCTCCCTGCCTGTGCCTGCTGCGTGTGTGCAGGGAGCGGCTGCAGGTGGACCCCCGGGAGCACCCCATGCTGCTGGCCGAGCCGTCGCACAACACCCCCGCCGTCCGCGAAAAGTGAGGCGCTCCAAGGCACGCGGGCCGACCCCCCCGCGTTCCGGGGTCGTCCCAAACAATCAACGACGCTGGGGCGTCGCCATGAGCTTGCCGTGCAGCATCGCTCCTCCCCGTGGCTGGGGCCGTCTGCCGCGCGCGCCACCTCGTTCTCGGCTGTGCGTGCGGGGCCGCCCTGGCTCTCTTGCGCTGCCCTGCTGTTGACGCTCTTGCGTGGCGCTGCAGGACGGTGGAGCTCATGTTCGAGAAGTACGGAGCGCCTGCCCTCTTCCTGGCTAAGAACGCGGTGAGCTGCCCCCCCTCTGCCCAGCACCCCGACCTGGGCGCTGCTGCGTGCCTGTCTGTCGGGCCGCCCGTCTGGCTACTCGCACGCTGTCCACCCCCTCCGCTGCTGCATGTATGCTGTGTCGCATGCGCTGCTCCTCCGAGCGGCCGTGACTGCTTGCTGGCCGCTGCGTGCAGGTGCTGACGTCGTTTGCGTCGGGGCGGCCCACGTCGCTGGTGGTGGACAGCGGCGGCTCCGGCACCACCGTGGCCGCCGTGCACGACGGCCTCGTCCTGCACAAGGTCAGCGCACCGCAGCAGCACACCAGGCCGAACGCGGGCCGACACTTGCGCCCACCTCCCCTGGCAGCGATTGCCTGCCCGCTCGACTCCGTGTGCCGCTGCCCGTCGCTGGCTCGTCTGCTCGCCCGCTTGCCCGCCTGACCCACCTTTGCTGCGCATGCAGTCGGTGCTGCGGTCGCCCCTGGGCGGCGACCTGCTGACGCGCGCCCTCCAGCTGCTGCTGCAGCACCAAGGCGTGCAGGTCAGCCCGCCCCCGTGCAGGCCCGGGACTCCTCTGTCGCCTTCGCGGGCCTCTTCTGCGATGGCCCTGCTTGCTCGGCCACGCCACAGTCTGGCCTGCCGCTGCGCCTGCCGTGCTGCTCCTCGCTTTGCCGCTCACACTGGGCCCTGCTGCATGTGCCGGGTGTGCAGGTCCGGCCTCGTTACTCGTTCAAGCGACAGGAAGTGCGGCCCGGGGAGTTTGAGGTAAGACGGCCTTTTCCGGCCCGCCGCCGGGCCTCCCTCCAGTTTGCCGGTCGCAAAGACGCGTCTGCGCTCCGTGCTCGAGAGTGTCCTGTGCGTTGTGGTGCTGCCGGCCGTGCGGCTGAGCGGCGCGCGGGTGTGCGTGCGTGCAGGCGGTGGCGGTGCCTGCCCCCGGGACGACGGCCAGCTACGCAGCGTTCTCGCAGCAGGCCATCACAGCCGACGTCAAGGAGGCCGTCTGCCGAGTCGCCGACGCCGCATTTGACGGTAAGGCCCCTTCCGCACTCCTCAATGCGGGCAGCGCGCAGCAGCGGCCAGGCCGACCGGACGGCGGGGACAAGCACGGCCGCAGTGCCATCCGTGTGCTGTCCTGTCGTGCTTGCTGCACCAGCGCGCCGCGCCCCGCCTCGCATGGCTGGCAGTCTGCTTGGCTGTGGCCGTGCTGCTCCGCGTGCAAACTGCCGTGGCTGATGCAGTGCCCTGCTGTGCAGAGGCGGCGTACGCCAACGTGCCGGGCAGCAGCTACGAGCTCCCTGACGGGAAGTGAGCCTCGCCGGGCCCCCATCGCCCGGCCCCTCTCTGAGTGACACCGGGATGCCGTGTTTGTGGTACTCTCTGCGGCTCTGCCCTGCGCGACCTCCCCTGTAGCGGCCGCGTGCTCCTCTGCTCTCGCCTCCCGCTTGCTCCCACCTGAGCGGTGCGTTGNGGCCCCCCTGTGCGTGCAGCGTGATCGAGGTGGGCAGCGACCGCTTCAAGGTGCCGGAGCTGCTGTTCAACCCGGCGGGCATCCTCCCGGGCGTGCCGGCCGGCGCGGAGCTGGGCCTGGACGGCGCGGGGCCGCTGGCGGGCGTGGCGAGCCTGGTGCTGGACAGCGTCAACAAGTGCGACGTCGACATCCGGCGCGAGCTCTTCAACACCATCCTGGTGAGCGCCGCCGCGCACCTCCTGCCGCGCCCCTCCCATGGTCCGGGGGCCGCGAACTGCAGCAGTGGCCGCCTTGCCCGGCCGGGCCCAGTGCTGACCGGCGGCGCTATGACCGTGTGCAGCTGGCGGGAGGCTCCACGCTGTTCAGCTCGTTCAAGGAGCGCCTGGAGAGAGAGGTGCAGGAGGTGAGCGCCGCCGAGCTGCCCGCCCGCCCTGCGCGGGCCTCCTGGTCGCCAGTGGGGATGGGGAGCAGCTGGGCTTGCTGGTGGCTTGTTGCGACGCCGTGAATGCCGTCTGCACCGCTACTGCGCCGCAGTGACGCCGGCCTGTGCTGCCTGCTGCGCAGATCGCCCCTCAGACGGCCAAGGTCAAAGTCACCGCCAGCAGCATCAACGTGGAGAAGCGCTTCAGGTACGCGCCCTGCACTGCGTGTACCCTGCGCCTCACCTGCCGCTGCCCCATGCCCGCCCCGGGCCCCCCCTGAGCGACGTCAGGGGCGGCGATGACTTCCGGCCACGACTGCTTGGATGGGGGGTCTTATAAGCTGCCAGCGACAGGCGGTTTCTCTGACGCGCGCATGTTTGGTGTTGCAGTGTGTGGATCGGGGGCTCCATCCTGGCGTCCCTGGGGACCTTCCAACAAATGTGGCTCTCCAAGAGCGAGTGAGGCCTCTGCGCCTGGCATGCTGTCACGCTGTCCACGGCTCCTCTTTGCTGACATGCTTCGCTGCGATGAGCCCCTCCTCCTCTGCATGTTTCGCACCTCGTCGAGTCTTGCCTGTGTTCGTTTTGACAAAGCAGAGAATTGAGGACGTCCGCGTTCGGAGTCGCAGGTACGAAGAGCACGGGGCACAATACGTGCACCGGAAGTGCCCCTGATTCGCCCCCTCACCCGTAGGGCAACTGAACTTCTGATTGAAGCCACTCATAAGCAACGTTCAGGCTTTCTTTTTAAGGGCAGGAATCCTTGGAACTTTGCCTCAAAAGCCATTGGGCTCCTCCCATCAACTCGTGCCAAACTCGAAGCGGGGAAAAGACGGTAATCATTGGCTGGACCTGGTTCAATGCCAATGTGCCCTCATGACACAGACGCGGTTTCGTCAGAGGTGTGCACATGAAGTGCACATGTATGAGAACTGTGCTCACAAAGTTCTCAGCACAATCGTAAGAACCGAACTCTTCCAGGCCAACCGTCCAGACATGACTCAAAAGTGGACAATCTATGTAATTCTCAGTTTCCTTACGAATCTTGCATGCCATTATTGTTGAACTTCTCTACGTCATGGATGGAGGCGTGTATATATGCTTGGTAGCTAGCCATGATTCTCCAAGCGCTATAGAGCTCTAGACGGGCTAGTGTCGATAGGTGGAGCTAGTGCTACACAACATGATAATATTTAGCTCTAGAAAGGACTTAAGTTACAGTCGGGCAAGAATATGATACTCATACATTATATCTTCCTTAAAGTTGGCTTGATTACAAATACACAATAGACAGCTGTTATAACTGTATGTATACGTTCCGATCATGAATCATGTAAAAGCGCTCTCTCGCGCAATATAGGCGGCTCTACTAAGCTTTTATATGCCATTTGCATGCATATGACGCGTCCGACTGCACTACGTAAGCTACACAAGCTACCTAGGGTGGGTACCGGCCGAGTCGATTTCGAATCGGTTTGCGACAATACTATAATGCCGCGTATCGAATATTGTCAGTGATACCGGCGGTTCGCGTCACGGCGACCAGGGTTTCCCACAGCCGGCACGCTGGGGCGGACCTGGCCGGTAGATTTGCCAACCCGGCCGGTGCCGAAGGCACCCTGCCGGCTGTGGGCCGGCCCTGCAGCCGGCTCTGCCAGGACCCTGCCAGCCAGAGCCTAATAGGTAGGTGCC